AATAGCTAATCGTCGTCATTGACCATAATCGTAACCATTTATATATACAAAAGCCATCTAATACATATCTAATAAAAAAAAATTATAAAAATCATTATCGAAACTCAGCTTGCAGCACATTCTTAAGCACTTTATTTGAAATTATTTTTCTCAGGACACACAATCTAAGTGAGATCAACGACATTGTCTGTTGGCAATGGCAACAGCAAGAATTTTATCTATATAACCTATATAACCGCAAAGAAATTCAAAGTTTATTGAGAGACTTAACAGGTAAAAAATTATCACCTGTTATCTGTTATCTGCTGTGGTTAGATGGAAACAAACTAAGGCACTAAAATTTTCTTTGCACATAAGAAATTGATGATTTAATTGTTTTTAACGATTTTGATCACTTCTATTCATTCTGTTTGGGAAGTGAACATCTCAGCTCGATTTAAACGTTAGAGTTCAAGTCCCATTCTTTTAAAACTCTAGAGAAAGTGGCATCTATATTATCTTAATTACTTACTACATGTACTTAATTTACTAAACCAGATTTTCTATACTATTTCGAGTAAGATATCCGTAGCTGTGTTTACAAATATATTTTCTAGCAGTCCAATTTATGTATAATATAAAATTTCCAAAAGATTTGTTTTAAGCAATGATTTCGTTCTGTGGAAGCGAATGTAATGCACAAGAAAAAATTTCTACGCAAAATAAAAACAGTTAAATAACTTAGCGTGAAGGATAATTCCCTTATGTCTAATAGACGTTCGTATTTTTGTTACCATAAGCATTTTTATTTTGCATTTTTATAGTATAATGAGATCTTATGATGCTATAGATACAGTAGTTGGCTTGGGCGTTGACAAAAAGAAGTATAGTCACTCGTTGTAAAGAAGGAAACAAAAAAATTTATTATCTGTCCGATCCACATACCAGGGCTTTACTACTTCGTTCGATTTCCCACGTTTGTAGATTAGCAATTACCGTGTTTAATCTGCGATTTGTATCTATATATTTAACGAGTGCAGCAGACAGCCAGAGAAGCTGATTTCATGTCCATGCAGTTCGTATACAATATTCACTTTCTTTTGGCCCAGAGAGAATACAGGCATACCGTCCGTGATGCCTTGAAAGGCATATCGATCAGGATAAGGCGAGAATTCTTTTTGGGCCTGACTCTAGTACAGCATGACAGCACGCTGCAACAGGGGATACTGTACGCGTTGCGTTATGCTTGGAATGAAGCAATTTCAGTTCATGGTATTCGGAAAAAATTAAGGACTTCATTACTTCATCCACGAAAACGATTCGTTGATATACTTTTTGCTCGTATCCACCATATATGCACAAAGTATCAATAAATGGTTCTTTTCCATCTCGAATAAACACCATTCCTTTCCTAAAGCTTTTCGTGCTCCCAATTCCGAACCTTTTATAACGTATTGCATGTCGTTTTAAAGTAATAAATGAAATGCTTTGCTTAACTTATTTAATAACTAATGTAATAAATATTTCTTTTGGCTCATTCTGTTGGCCTATATATATTTCCTTTGGAGAAGAATCGTTAAGCTGTCAAAAGACACCTCATAGTAAATATAGAGAATAATACCGTCAAATAAGTTTAAAAATTATTAGACGAAAAATGAAAATATTACTTGAGGAAGAAATGTTCAGCGTAGAAAACAATGTCAAGTAAGGCTTTCAAAATGCGTCTTTTGACACCTTTTATATAAATAGCCATAAATAATGTTAAAATTTGCGTAGGTGGAAATAGATAGACCTAACAAAAGTATGCACTTAAACGAATTCTTAGGCAGAGGAATATCCAGAAAGTTGGCAATCACTGACAGTAAGCAATCGTCTCTTTCTTACATCAAAAAACTACAAAATTTTATTACATAAATATTAAAAAATAGACATTATCTTATGTGGAGACTGGTCGTAAAATTCTCACATCTATTTCGCTTCGACTTAGCCTAGTTGAAGCATATCAATATAGCAAATTTTACATTTCACAAAAACATACATAGGCAGACTTGCTTATGTTGATTCAGAAAATGGTTGTGGTTCGGTTGATCTAATAAAAGGTATGTCTACCCCAAGTCTTTGGGAATGTATTTCATATATCTACATAAACTTAATATGCCCTAATCACAAAGTATGGAAAAGAAGAAGAATATATAGGTAAACTCAGACGAACACTCCTTGAGGAGAAAATTTTATTAAACGACGAACGTATTAATTTACGTTAATTCTGAACATTGTAACTTAGTTAGAAGGAAAGCAATGTAATGTTAACCTTCTGTTAACACAGTAGCTTGGTAATCATGGTAACTTCGTGCCTAAATCATTCCGTCGCAATTATTATCCAGCTTAGCTCACAACTTTCTATATTGCCACTCATGTTACCCCATATAACTTAATATTTTAATTTAATGTAATTTGTTAATCATAGTGTAAAGACAGGAAGAAAACTGAAAATATTATTAATTAAAAATAATTAAAATTATTTTAAAGATTATTAGGAAAGAACGAGTAAAAACGCTATAGTAGAGCATGGCATACCATTGAATACTCTACCTGACTTCACTTTACTTAATACTGACACTCATATAATGGCTTTTCAAAATAAAATGTTTCATGGGAAGTGGTCAAAAAGATGATATGATCTGAATGATTTGCAGTAGCGTTAATTTTTAAACTAAAACACGTTAATGGACCAAATTTTATCAAAATATCTTCGGCTTGCAGATTGAGCACAAGATAACAAGACAGACAGATGCACATACAAACTGGTGAACAATATAAAAATAAAGAGCAAGAAAATCCAAATATCTAATCTTTCGGATAAAGAATAAGGAAGAAGAATTAACGAGTGGTTTGAAAATTTATGTGGGCTCGTTAAAAAAGACGTCGTTCCAGACTTTCACTGTATTTGTCGAAATAGTTAATATCATCGTTTAAATCAATTATTTAAATTAAACGGCATTACACAAGGCTCTAATGTAGTTGTTCAAGTTGCTTACAAATGGCTGCTCAAGTTGCTTACAAATGAAAAAGGCTTTTATATATAGTTGAACTTCTATAAAATTGATCAGTAGAAAGTCAGGGTTCGGCAAATTAAAGATGTTCTCTGGCAATTTCTTTTACCAATTAACAAACTGTATAACAGTTAATCCCATTATTATCTTAATATTATTATTTATAGTATCTCATATTATTATTTTTTATCTTGAAAGGATGAGCGAAGGGAATTTTATTTCATACTCACTTAATTCAATTAATACACACATTCATACAAACTGATTTATGACGCAAACCGTTTGTTATATGTATAAGTTACAAAATGCCAGCATATACTAAATTTCTTAAAGAAAGAAAAAAATTATTTCAGAAAATGTTAAATACCTTTGTACATACCTACTGACATCTTGCATTTATAGAGCAGCGCAGCATCGATGTATAACTCTGGGATAATCTCTCCCACTTACTGCAGCTTTACATAGAGTAACCAATACTCTATTATTACATCAGCAGTAACATACATATGACTCATCTTTTTCTCTTACTATGCATATTTTTCTTTGCTATGTTTAGATTTCTCTTTAAAATCGTAGCAAGATCACCGAACCATTTATAAGAACAGAAGTTGAATCCTCTTTACTATCAAGAGGATCTAATTTTCCGCATTATCAGATTTCATGATACTGATTTGACAAAATTGAGTTGAATGATTCAGTTTTGTTTTCAAATTATTAATTATTCTTGAAATATATCGCACATTCAATTCAAATTAAATATATTTTTAATCATTTGGCTTCGTAAATAATCAAAACTGTTGCACTTTGCGTAAAGAAGACTGGTGTACTATTTTGGAAATCCCGCATTTCCGCATATTGCTCTAGTATACAATCTGTAAAAATTAATTAATTTCTTTTGTATTAAAGATACATAACCATCATTTGAAAACAAATCATATGTATTTTATAAGAATTTTTTATCATACCCGCTACCGAAGGATAAGGGATGTATTCATTTTATCAAACCAACTAGAAACTTAAGAGACCCTGCATAATATATATTCCAAATCAGCGCATCAAATTCTAAACCGATTTAAGCATGTCTGCCTGTCCTTCTGTGCAACGTTTGTTGCAAACATTCTCCTGGTCACAAATTTGAAGCTATCCACTTCAAATTTCGCAAAAACAGTTCTGAATTTCAATTCGCCTAAGCGTGTCCTTCTATATGTCTGTTCATATATCCGTCTACCCAATCGTGTAGTATTTATGATAAACATTCTCCATATAAATTTGCAAATCGGTAAAAACACGCGCATATAACGCCCACACGCCTACGTAACCAAAACTGTAAACACCTACGCTTTCCGCGTTTTGTTGCTTGTTACTCATAGAGTACAACACATACACCATATAAATTGTCATTTTTATTTTACAAATAGAACAAATTTGGCCGCGCCCACCCGATGTTATAAAATACTAATATGTAATTTTTACCTTTTTTATTGGTAGGTGACGGGTATAATCAATCAAGACCTGATATAATTTGCGTAGTTGCTTTTATATAATCTTCTATATGATGTGATGATCTTTTATATGATATGATGACAGAAAAACAGAAAAAGTATATTATATCGCAAAGGAGTAACTGTATAATAATATATGACCACTCTCAGCTTCCCGTAATGGTGTAAAATATCGCATACGGTACTATACATTAAAGAGGTGTAGTTGAAACCACGCCTACTTCCCATAAATTTCATATATATATATACATATGATGAAAGTTACAATCGATTTTGATAAGAAGCATTCTGTATTCATTCAAGCTTTTCCATTTCTTTTCAACAAAAATTTGACATTTAACTGTTGATTTAAGAAACTAAGGCTACTCATTTAATACTAATGTTATTCAAGCATGTTTTATAATTTTTTATCATTGTAACATTGTACATTGTAATTTGATCTTAAATGAAACTTCAATTTGTTAAATAAATTTTCAAAAATCTTTTTATTCTAATATATAAATGTCGACTATTTTCAGTTAAATGTTTAGTTTAATCATTTTCGTATAATGTTTTACTCGATTGAATAATTGCGCGAACGCATCTCAATGCGATGTCTATTCGAAGTTCTTTGTTTTCTTTTCTTCTTTTTTTTTTTTTTTTTTGTTGTTGCTTATCATTTTTTTTTTAAATGTCTTACTTAGAAGGTTTTCAAAAGTATATGAGGAAACTTTCGTAGAAGAGACATGAAATAGTTAATTTAATTTTAGATTTCCATTTCGTTACCGCATACTATTTACAGAAGTTTTTAGAAATACAAAAAAGAAGAATGTAAAAAAATTTCTTTTATTAAATAATTCTTATGAAGATTGTGCGCTGAACTAAAAATAGTAAGCAGGTTCACCTCGTTTGGGATTGTTTCAAAATTTCAATATTAAAAAAGGGGAGTAATTTCTTGTTTGTGTTTGATTATAAAAAGTTTACATAAAATATTGCATAAAACTGCAAGCAATTTGAAACAATAGCAAAATAGATAATAAACTGGTAATCGATGATTTTAACCAAAGGCAGTTGGTTTTAAAGGGTGGAGGAGTATATGAGCTCCGGCATTCATTGGATATTATTGTACTTTAAGACAAGTTTGTATAAGGGGTGTGAGGATATAATGCGGAAAAGTAATTTATACCAGAGACACAACATTTACAATCACTTAAACGAATTGAGCATATGGTCTGTCTCCCAGTTTTAATGGCGATGGTGACTTCTTCTTCTTAATTGTTGCTGTTGCTGATGATGCTGATTACAGGCATCGGCTCGTCGCAGAACTTCTGCATATGATAAATCAAGTTTCTTCAATTTATGTAAGTCTTGGGAGACTGTACTGGGCCGATATTCAATGCCTGCAGACGCGTCTACACTATTTCGTCCACGTATTGAGCGATTGTAAATTATCATTGAGTTACCGTTCCACTCATATTTGGTACCATTACGACCACCACGTGAATTAATGCCAGGCGAATTATTTTGACTTTGCTGGCTTGGTGAACCGGAAGCAGTAGACGTATCAACAAATGGACGCATTTCTCGGCGTTTCTTTCCGCTTCCCACATAAATACGTGGAGGGGTAGGCAAAGCCAAAGGTGATTCCGAACGATCGTTCGAAAAGTTTCGATTTTTGCGACGATTTTTTTTCTTAACGCCAACACCAACCGATAAGTAGTCCAATGGCTCCCGCTTCAATGGGGTCAATACTCTTCCATTCTCCACGATTTGTTTTACATTCGAAGAGGCCAATTGTGAAATCGAAGCTGCGATGGGTGGTTTATTTTCTTGATTCTTTTCGTTTATATGCTTTTTAGCTGTTTTACGCTCTAATTTCGTAATGCATTCGGACATAGCAAATGACTGCTCAGAAATAGCTGATGATATTACACTCTGGCTATCATCACCAAAATCAACAGGCAGTTCTTCGTTGGCAGGAGTAACGGGCGGCACCTTACTGGCAGCGACAGCAACGGAACTGGTTGGATGCGTATCGTCGAGTAAAGGCAGTTTTTCTCCTTCTTCTTTATTTTCGGCTGCCTTTTTTAAGACAGCAAAAATCTCTTTAAAAAGTTCACGATACTCAGGACGATTACGGAAACGAGAATCAATGGGGCTGACGTCATCATAAATACTAAACTTGCAGTCTTCTCCATCACCGATAGAACAGAGAAAGTAACCAGGCCTATCATCAGTTTGCGTGTATTTATTGCTTGTTTCATCCGAGAAGCCAGACGAAGAAGTTTCAGCTTCTGAAAATTCAGTAGGAGTACGTCCACGATTCTTATGAGTCTTAGCATTACTAGACGCGGCATTGGAAAGGCTGCCATTGCAACTACTAGCAGCGTCGCCGTTTGTCGATGGCCCGCCTCCGGCCTCTTGAAACATTCGCTTTTGAGCTTGATTGAATTCTCCAGATGATTGGAATTCTTCGGCCAACGACATACCATTATTTGCTTTGTGAGCCAGCGATGATCTCTGTACTTCCAAAAGAGCCTCATATTTCTCAACCAAATCACGATACGGATTCGGACTGCCAGGAGCATGTAGATCCAAAGAATCAGGTATTTGCGGTATTACCTGAAAATTATGCGTAATTTGAAAGTTTTTAATCGAATTAATAGCTCAGTATGACATTAAGATATATTGATGCAAATTTTTTTTTTTTTTTTTTTTGATTTATTACTTCCGGAATGAGAAAAAAATTAAAATAGGAATAGAGAGACTAGAAATCGGATTGGATGAAATAGAAATAATAATAAAGAGAAAGAAATAGAGTAATAAAAATAAAAGTAGCAATAATAACTATTATGATCAATTTTAATAATAAGAACAAAAAATACAAACATTACCATGCAGTCGATTTCACAACAAAAAAAAACGAAACAATTTATACAGTGGAAGACATTCGTATAAGAACATTACATATCAATTTGATTTGTTCCATCTTTTTAATAAATTAACTTGAATCGAAAATTAATCGGATCATGCATTCGCGTAGATCGCTTAAAAAAAAGTCTCAATTGCAATCTCGTTACATTTCGAATGTTTTATATGAATGTCTTCCACTCTATATATATGTAAAATAATTAGGGACAAATTGATTTATTAATTAATTATTTTCATGAGAAACCAAATATAGGATAAAAATATATTTGATTAAAAAAAATGTTGTTTAAAATTTTGTTTTTTCTTTTCTCTTGTTTCTAACAAAACAAAACGAAAAACGCTTCAGACTTGCAGAAAATTTTACAAACGAAGGGTAAAAGTTTACCATACGGAAGCAAAGGATGAACGTAATTGTAAAAAAAGGATGTGAAAAGAAGAGGCGTGCTTAAAATTCATATTTAAAGAAGGTTGGTCTTGTAAGTATTTGGAACAAAACATTTAGGTTAAAAAACTAGAAAAATTGATAAGTAAGCGTTAGTTGAGAGTCTAAACGTTTTCCTTGACTTATTTTACTAACAAATTAAATACATTTGAGCTCTAAATAAAAATGAATACACTAAAAATCCAATTAGTTAAAACAAATAGATTTAAAAAAAAATTAATTAATTCTTGGCACATTAAAAAAAAACAGTAAATACACAAACGTATAAAAATCACTTAAAATATATACCTAATACCTATTTGTGACGTTTTTGTGTTTTGCAACCGAAAAGAACATCGCCGTTAACGGAAATTGTTAATAAAAAGAAATGAGAATAAAAAATAAACATTGAAAGGAAATGCTTTTTCAATCGGATCTTTGTGATATCTACCGACTAAATTAAATACATGGGGAACTCTTATTCCAATTATGATGGCATCAAATACTTTAACAAAAAACCGTTCTTTTTGGCTTAAGTCTGAGGTTTAATTTAATCGTAAAACCAACGATCGGGATAAATGCCAGATTAATAACAGTTGCGAATTTATTGACTATTTATAAAAGTGAACGTGTAACAAAGAAAATTTTCTTTTCTCCCGTAACTGTTAAGTGATTTCGTTAAGGTTTTTTGCCGTTACATAAATTTAGTCAATTGAAATTTGGAAAAACTCCCTAGAATTTTTGAATCAAGGATATAAATATATTATGAAATCACTGTGTAATATGTGCTTTCCGGTACTTGCAAGTAATAAAAAAATCCAACAATATGACCGAGTTAGTTGAGTTCCAATATATAAGTGGTGGATGTAAAAAATTAATGAATAAGTACTTTAACGTTTAACGACGATTATGTATACGTAATTGTGGTGGTATAAAAACAACAACAACAGCAACAACAAAAGAAATGCATTATTAAAACGAATCAACTGAAAGTGATCTATGAAATTATATAGGGCACGTCAGAAGAGTAATGAGAAATCTTCATCGTCCGCTACGGAACTAATCATACGGCTTAGAAATAACGCCGGCCATTGCAGCATTTTCGCCACCCAACGCACTATACTGAATCGTTTGACAGTCTTCTGCCATATATCGAGCATAATCGACTCAAACGATATTGGCAATTGTTCATGCAGGTACTTTGTGTTGGAATTTGAACAAATCGGACAAGCTTTTGTTACTTGCCTGTTGCCCTAATAAATCGAAAAGAAAAAAAAAATTATATAAAACAAAACAAAACAAAGCGAAAAAAAGAAAAGCAATATCAAAATTTTTTTCTCTAAACGTCTTCAGAGATTAAAGTGAAAATGTGAAACGAACTTATGAAAACAGTTCACAGTATTCAGTGTGTGGAAACGAAACGTTAATTTAATTATAATTAGTCCATGAAAAAAATAATAAAAAAAAAAAAAAACTATAATAAAACAGGCGGAATTTGAAAAGGAAATGTGATGAAATAAAGGGCCATCAAAGGATATTAATGTTATGGAAAATAAAAAGCGAAATATACATATAGATAGATATACATGGATGTATATATATAAATATATCTATTTTTATATATAAAAACAAAAATAAAAATTACTCCAATGAGAGCCAAATAACTCTATGCGATATTTATAAGTAAGTTATTATATAGAAGTACATATGTATAAGTAATGTTTCTAGCTCACTGCTACATTAAATAAACAGAGAAATCATTACCTACAGGTGAAAAAATGGATATATACTGTGAAATTTTGATGCTCTTTCAACAGAAAAACACTCTATAACATTTAAGAACATAATTATAAATGCTTTGGCCTTCTTCAGACATTTCTTTAACCCGAGTAAATATCGCATCCGCATTAATTAAACTGATAAAAGTCAATGTTCTGCAGTCTTTTTAATAATTCATTGAAATGCTGTGTAAAAGATATTTTTGCCATTTGTCACTCCGCCCCTTGTAATTGTAAAGAGATTTTATTCTAACTTTCATAAGAATCAAAAAATTAAATTAAGTTTTCTTTTTTCCTTTTAGCTTCTATTCATGGTACATGAATGAAAATATGCAGAATTTTTGATCATATTGGAAGAAATATTCATGAAGCCTCAGAGAGAAACGATAAAATGATATTTTGGATTAAAGTCTGCATATCGCTCACTCTTAAATATATTGGATTGAGTATATGTAATTTTGCTTGTCTTTTTCATTCTTTCAACTAATGTATTGAAAAATCCATTACTCAACCAATTTCATATACGAGGTGTGTTCAAAAAAAATTTTTTTTTTTTTTTTGGTACGCACGTCCCCATCATATATTGACATTATCGACCATTTTTCATTTTTAGTTTATTTTTGATAGATATAAAGATTAGAAATGTTTTGATGGCTGGAGCGCTGGCACAACTTCAAATTGCCTTAAAAGGCACCAAAGATATATTGATAAATAAATAAATATTTCTCGAGAGAAATAAAGAGTTCCTCTCTCTTTTTGAACAAACCTTGCATAAAATGTATTACCTTTTTTTCTCTCTCTCTCTATACTTTTAAGTAATGCAACCCACTTATATACATATGAATTATTATGAAAATTTTTCAGGAAAGAGCAATGCGAAAGTGTTAGATAATGCACAAATAATTAGATGAAGAAAATAAAAAAAACAATGATACGAAATAATGCCCTTTAATCTAAAGTATACGATTCAATTCAATTCAGTAAATAACTCTTGCAAATAAAGATGAGATTACAATTTTGAAATTTTGATGAATTTTTTAATGCAATCAGATCATCTTAAGTTATGTTTTATATTCTTTAGGCAAATGAAATAAAATAAAAAAAGGAGAATAGATCAGAAAAATTTAATCAATTAGTAGTGATAAGCATATAAAGAGATGATTTCCATAAATTATCTAAGATTTATTTAAAATTGTGTTTCGAAAACTATTCTTACCTTTATAGTCATAGAATGCCTATATTCTGCTTGGGAATGTTCACTAGCGTTATCGTCGCGGTTACTTTCCAGCCCGAGAAGGCTGCGTTCCTCATCCTCTTCACACTCTTCGGTAGGAGCCATTGATGATTGCTCATCATTGAAAGTAATTCGATCATCCATTGACCGCAAACAACGGCTACACATTTGCCCTTGACTAGGAATAATTAAAGAAATATATTTCAATAATTAATCGATAAATTTATAATTCAATTTTATTTTCCACAACATCATAAAAACACAACTTACCGCACTTCATCTAATACAGAAAGTTCATCATGCATCGATCGCATTTCCTCAGTGGTACTTGATTGGGCTATACGTCCCTGCAGAGTTTGGTTTTCTTGAACTATAAATTGCCAACGTAACCGCTTAAATACATTAAACGAAATCATATAATAATTTATTGTAAGTGCTTACTTATGGCTACCAACTGTTCTTCCAGTTCGCTACAGCGTTGTTGCTCTGTCATAAAAGCACGTTTGGTGGACTCCAAATCGTTAACCAGTTTGATAATTTCATCACTACCATCACTGCTACACGCCATATTCAGATTATATGAATTCTCGTGATCACCGCCGCCATCACCACTAATTATACTAGTGGAATTAGCATTTCGGCCAGCAACAGACGATTGAAAGGTGAAACTAAAATTTTCGGGCGCTGTAGCACTCGGGTCATAATTAACCGGAAGCGTGGTATCAACTGTCCCTTCGTTAGATTTTTTTTGAGAAGTGTGTTTTAGTTTTACAACAGTCACATCGCTACCATCAGCTTTGATATGCTCGGCTAAGAAGCGTTCATTTTTGCGACGTTCTGCAGTTAAAGCTTGACGTACTTCTTCTAATTGCTTTGTTAATTCCTCGCAACGTCCCTCAAGGGTTTCAGTATTATTCGAAAGCCTACAAAATGATTTTTATCGTTAGAGTTTAATAATAATAAATAATTACTTTGACAATAAAATGCAAAAACAATTACGTTTTAATATGTTTCTTATCGCTGGTATTTTCAACAAGTAAACGATGATTTGCTCGTTCCAATTCTTGAATACCGACTTCTAATTGTTCGTAAACCTTAAGACGGGAATCATTGACTTCACGTAAGGCTGTTGTGTGTTTTTTCAAATACTATAAAATAAATTCAATGAAAGGAATGAACTAAATGATCTTCCCAACAAATGCGCAGAAATGCAAGTAAATAACTATAAGTAAATACCCTTAAACTTAAGATAAAGAGATTCACTGACATATATATTATATATATACATAAATTACTATACCATACGTATAATAATTTTACGTATATATGTAATTGTATTTATGCAAAAGTAAATTTTGATAAATGGGTCAGAAATAGATTGAATTTTAAAAATACTCTTGTAATTGCCAGCGATGAATTTCTGGCACAGAGTGAAAGATTAAATAGCAGAGTAAAAATATCACTTACCCATTTTGCTATGGGTCTTTAAGGTGTTAATGGGATTAATGGCATGCAACGATTGACTGACTGTCGGAAAGTCTTGAAAACTCTAAACGTGTCAATGCCACATTCATATGCGTTGTGACTATAGAAAATTTCTTGATGGAAACTGGGCTTTCAGCCGAAGCAATCATGCTTGTCCGCTGCAGCAACAATCGAATTGCAATACTTGCACAATTTGTAACTTGGGTTGCATGAGCGAGAAACAGTTCTCTCTTTTCTTGCCTAAAATATTTTGTATTCTTTATCTGAATTCTTTTTTTTTTTTGTTGTTGTTAGGAATATATAAGCATTTCTTTAACGGATTGATTGGCTACTAAGTTGGTTTGGCTGAACCAGTTAAGCATTGAACTCTGACGATTATTAATTGGTTTTTGGCGCCAACAATTAAGATTGAATTTATAGGATGGACGTGAAGCAATGATGCATTAAAAAAGCAAAATAAGCAAATTTTTAAAAACAACCGAAGCAGACAATAATCGAAAGACAAAAAGAAAAAAAAAATAATAATTTGTATAGATTTTACCAATAGGGCTGCTAGTTTAACAAACAAGTGCCTCGTGTAAGCTTGACGTTTAAGAAAATGCAAATCTCTCTATATTTTTGCTTTCTGCATTTTTTAGATGCAGAAAACGATTGCAATCAACGTAAGTAGAGCTTTAGGGAAGTAGTATAGTTATTATTGTTGGTGTTGATAATGTTATTCATAATAAAATTACAATGATTATTATCATAATAATGCAGATACACTTACCACAATTTCCTGTTCTTGCTCTTCAATTGTGTGCTTATATTCCTTTAAAAGGGTCTCTAACTCTTTATTACGCTCCAACAATGTTTTACCCAATTCAGCGGCCAATTGCAAATCTGAAAAATAAACACATGGTAAAGAAACGATCAGCATCGTTTTCATCTATAAAATACAATTCAAATATCATCATTAGAAATGTTGAGTGAATATTAACATTTATAGAGTTATTAGATACAAGAAACCTATTATATATATGGTTTTCATTAGTGATTAACATTATTTGTACCTCTCGATAAAAATTGTTGAAATCGTAATTTTCATTTCAAACGCGCTGAAGCAATCTCATTGCTTACGCTAAAGGGACAACCTCTTAAGTATATGAATTAATTTCTTCCCCGATACTTAAATGGTTTTGTACATTTTCGTATTTATAAAATTATAGGGTATGGCAATCGACATAACCTGACTAATTAAAATGTTTCTTTTTGGCTTTTCCATTTCTGCAAAATGCTATTAACACTACTCGAGTAATAATGAACATTGTGCATAGGTTGTCAAAAAATTGGATATTTGATTTGTGAGGGCAAAGACTTTTTGAAGTAGCCAAATAATTGTTATCGTTATTATTTATTAATCTCAAAGAAATTAAGCCTTAACATTTTTAGTGGGTTTAGCACTAGCGCTAGCTAAAACTCAACGACGCCAATGGCTAAATGGTTAATCTAGTCGTTTTTATAACATTGAATATTTTTTTGATATTATTTTCTGTTTGTATGTACGTTCAAGATTTCCATAAGGTTGGTCTGGCCAAATGTGCACTTTCGGGGTATGTGTTCGGGGGTGTTGTTCAAATGCGTAGTTTCTCTACAATTAGATTTTTTAAGGATCCTTTGGTGTATTGCAATTATAGGACCACAGCGAATCCTTGCGAATATTTGGTTTTTAATTTTGCCAATGAAGAAACAGGATTAGAATTAACGTTAGATTAGAGCGGACGGCAGTTTTGTCAATTTTTTTCATTAATTTGGTCTAAAATTTTTTTTCTTCTAATATATCCATCCATCAATTCATCCATTATTACCATCCAGCTTATTCATTTTCCAAGACGCCAATATGACTTGAGAACCATAAGTGGCGATGCCATTCCTTTAAGTTTGAAACAACTCTTATGACCAACAGATTATCAGCCATAATAATTGCTTTCGATTACGAGCATAATTTCTGACTTGAAGGATGGCTCTAGGCCCGGTTGTAGATGTTAAAGCTCTTTCGTTTAAAATATGATTATTTTCGAGTTATCCTGCAATATTTACTGGCACCTGTTATTTCCAAAATGTAAGTTTTCTATGTTCTGTAATTTTCTGAAGACATGATTGGATGTATACTGTTTTCATATGCTGAGAGTGAATTACCATAACATTTGAATCTAAATCTATGCAAGATACTTGGAGCGACGGTTTCCTCACCATCGCAACATTTTCTTGAACTATAATATTGCATGGGTTAAGAAATTCCCGGATGATTCTTTGGAGTCTATTTTCCAAAGTTGGAAGCCCGATTTTAGCATTGATGTTGTTGATGAGCGTCGTTTGTTGCATTTTATTGCGCTACAATAGATTTTGGAAAACCAATCCTTTATGATAATTCAAAGGGTAACTCTAATCGCATGTTAAGTTTAGCAGCAAATCATTTAAACCTTCAAAAAATCTTCAAAAGCAAATATGTAGACTAAAGGACAAATATCTAGCGTGTTTAGAGAGTCATGCAAATTATATGCAAGATAAAAACAAGTAAAAAAGTTATCCATTGAAATCTTGAAAGCTCCATGCTATTATTTATTAACATAAAAATAGTGCATGGGATGACATTTATCTTGAACCTTTTACTTCCTTAAAAAATATCGTTAGGAGTAAGAGTCCTACATAATCATATAGCAGATAATATATCTTCTCTTGAGGTATATACAAAACAGCTTTAAACATTCCGTCTTGTTTACCTTATCATTAATAAGCATAAACTCTCCAAAAGTGAAAAAAAAATTTATCAAAAAAGCTTAAGTAATTATGATATTGTGTGGGCATGGACAATTTTTTTCAATTTAGCACATTAATAGTAGAGGTTTTCGTAAAGTATATGTGGAAAAATCAGGCTTCTATCTTTTATGTACCTCGCTGCGGGCTTGTGCTCTGACCAACTTGGTATATTTTCAATACCAACCTGTGTGCAAAAAATTCTATTTTCTTCCGAATTTGAAGATGATACCTTTATTTTTACAACAAAAAGAATTGACAGTCAGACATGGCTTAATCAATTCAGAATTTCATACTTTATTAGGTATCTAAAGCCTTCTTTTGGCTGTTACAAACATTATGACAAAATGAATATACCCACTATCCTTCTGTGGTGGGTATAATAATATATTTGCTGAATGATCATTTTTCCTTTTTGCAATTTTTGTTTATTAACGGTTTAGTTGGCAAAGGAAAATTTCTTTTGTCGTTTAAAATTCGCACGGATATATATTTTTTACAGCTGCTTTCCCATATTGTTTTATCATTTCAACCAACCTTGAGAAAAGAAATCATTTTTGATGAAAATCAATATTGTAATCATCGTCATTATATTTTGTAAATATATTTCATCATAATTTTCAGTTTCATATATATATATATATATATATTTTTTTTTATGAAAACTTGAAGTTAACTTAACTTTTTCATTTATACATATATACATTATACATATGTGCATGGATTTCATAATAACATTTCCATCATAATATTTTACACCTTAAAATATGATTTCGATACAACACCGTACATATTTTGTTAAATTATTTTATTCTCAATGAAATTTCAGATTAAAAACAAAAGGAAAAAAAAGTTGGGTACACAGCCGTGTTAAGTGGAAGACGTATTGTATCTATTATTAAAATAAACTCCTTAATTGACACAATTCTGTTATTTTTCTTTAGAAACTTACTGTCCTCAATCGAATTATAGTTGTAAACGTCACTTTCCAGTAATTGACTGACATTAACCATCTTATATATAATACAAGCGAATATGTGAATAGTAAAAAATTATTAAAATTTAGTTCTAATGACATGAAAATAAATGTTTGTAACCGATTCGAAACGTAAACTGAATGCAATAGAAGAATATGCTAAGATATATATATGCATTAAATTTTTGTAACATATACCAGCAAAAGTACCGGTATTCGCAAGGATAACCAATAAAACGTGAATAGTGTTTTCCATGCCATTGCCATGTTAATGAAATCATTTTCTTAACGAAGATTTCGTAGAAACGCATCAAGGTAATCCATCCTGCATATTCTCGGCACACCTACTCTGCTACATGTCGGTACTTTAACGTAGCTAAATAGTACATAACATTATAAAACCAGTAAGAACACTAAAGTCGGGCAAGACCGGCCGATAGATACCCTACATCGCTTCACCTAATATTGGTTATTAACAAGTTTTGTTAATAATATACCAAAAATTACACATTATTTTCGTACCAAGGCATACTTTTCACGGAAGTTCATATATTGGAGGATATGCGGTGATATTAAAAATAATAGATTTACTTGACCCAAATTCGGGAAGGTTGATTTCTATGTTAAATTACTATTGTGAACTAATTTTCTCCATGACGTATTAAAAATTATATCTTTTTATTCGTAGAAGCGTTTATATGAGGCAGGGTTCAGAAAATTTCCCCAACCGAATCAAATATTTCATACCAATTGATAATGTCCAAATACTATTACAGAATGAATTTTGTTGAGAAACTTTGAAAATCCCATTTTTTTTCCATATACTTTTCAAAATATGGCTTTATATGGCGAGTGATCGCAAAATTTCAATTGTGTTCATCCTTGGATCTAAACACGTGAGTGTACCAAATTTTAACATGAACACAAGAATTCGTGATCAGACTTCAGAGGGACAAAATCATTTTCTGAGTTGATCGATATAATGAAAGTCTTTTCGGGTGTAACATACGTTCGCACATACTTATTACTGCCTGTGGTGCTGGGTATAAAAGTAAAAAACACGCATATCAAACATATTAGACCTACTAATAGAAATAACGTTACGTCATTCTAACAATTTTGATTCCTTAAAAATTCAATATACTTCAAACTATGCTTGCTTAACATATACGCATCTATCACATCATCCTTCTGTGGAAATTATTGACTGAAATTACCCAAAGTACGTGCTGTACAGTAATAAGCTATGAAATCCTTTGTATTTAGATTTTTTTCATTTTACGCAGAATATGTGTCCTCCGCGGCTTAACTAGAAACTGCAAAACAACCTAACAATTTTCTTCCAATGAAAAACTGTTGTTTTTGTTGAACAGTAATAATACAATTATAACAACAACGTACTTATCCGAGCGTCGCGATTTCATCTTCGGCTTAAATTTTATTACCTTTCCCTACTAAAAATTGAGCATGTGATATATAAGATATTCATAATACCTTACTTACGGTTGTGACGGTGTTCCCTTATAGATAAGAGGGCGAACACGTGTTCTTGGAAAATTTAAGCAATTTGACTTGGTTCTCATAAATGCTAATTTTAATAACATTATGCGTTTTTCAGGTAAGACATTGTTGCTTGCTTTTCATGTTTTAAAATTAAAGGCATGTTGTTCATGTTAAAATTTTTAAGCGGATCATGCGATTTAAGTACAATTAATTATTATTATTAGTTATTTTTATGCTCACATATAAATATTTTTTATGTAAAATTTAATAAATAATTCTTTTAATTAAAATAAAAAGAAAGAAAAACATTATGTTATTTAAAATTTTAGAATTTCTTTAAGTATATTATATTAAAATTATTTTCGTGATATTATTTGTCACTAATTAAAATATAAACGAAAATGATTAAAGTATATTCTCATTAAATATAACGCAAGCCATGCAAAATGAAAGGCAAAAGAGAAACATATGTAAGTATATTGATACGAAGGGGTTTTAAAACCAGTTTACGTTTAAGAAAGGCTTACGTTTAGGCCTAAAATGAATTTATGTCTCACAAATGACAAGCGTAAAGGCATATAGGTTTAAATGAACAATTACGAACATA